CGGTACCGAACTCTACTGTGCTGTAACTGTAATCATATATGCATACTTATATACGGTGGCGACTATAGTGCTGTTGAATTTTACTGTGTGCTGCTGGACATCACATTCAATACTTAATTATGAATTAACAACACATTTTTATTAATAAAACCGTGTGTTGTTTCTATATTTTACAATTTGAAAAATCAGCACAGTGATCTTCTCCACCTACATACATATACATACATGTTTTTTCGTTCTATCTAGCTTTGTTCACCTTTTAATTAATTGATTGATTGATTTAATTCTCAATCCGAGATCGTTCTGCAGCCGCCATTGTGTGGGGAGATAATCAAGATCCAAAGGTGGAAGAGATACAAGTCGAGCCTCCCCGCTCCGGAGAGGTCCGACTAAAGATGCTCTTCTCTAGCATTTGCCACACCGACGTCCTCGGCTTGAGGGGGTTCCCCACCGTACATGCTTCATCTTTATCGAAATATTTTAGATATTTAGTTTTAAATTTAATAAATTTATATTAATATATGTATTGACTTAAATATAAATATACTAAATCTAAATTTAAATATTTAAAATATCTCAGCAACCTTCGTCGCTATCTATTTACCTAATCTTCTTTCGTTAATCGATTCATTGTTAAGGCACTTACTTAAATCTATTTTAATTTCTCTCATCAGCCAGTATTTCCCAGAGTCCTCGGCCATGAAGGCGTCGGGTAAATGAATTTGTTCTAAATTCACCGATATGATCATTATCATTTCAGTTGGGAATGAAATTACTCATCGGTGTTCTTAATTGATCAGCGTGGTGGAGAGCGTGGGAGAAGGTGTAGTACGGCTGGAAGCAGGAGATTTGGTGATCCCGACGTACCTAGGGGAGTGTGGCGACGCCTGCGAAAATTGTAGATCGGGGAAGACGAACCTATGCCAGACGTATCCCCTCCAGGCATTCACCGGCCTCATGGCCGACGCCACCACTCGAATGTCGGTGCAGCTTCCCGATGGTCTCCGCATCCGCCTCCATCACTTCCTCAGCTGCTCCACCTGGTCGGAGTACACAGTCGTCGACGCCAACTACTTGGTCAAGGTCGATCCCACCATTCCCCTCCCTCAAGCCAGTCTCCTTTCCTGCGGTTTCACCACCGGTTTCGGCGCCGTCTGGAAGGAAGCCAAGGTGCACCATGGATCCACCGTCGCCGTTTTGGGACTTGGCGCTGTCGGACTCGGGGTACGGTATAACTTTTTATATGGAATCGAATCAAATCGAATTGAATTGAATTGAATTGTTTATCCTTCGATTCAATTCGTTCCTATGGCTATGAATGTATGGGTAGGTGGTGGAGGGGGCGCGAGTCCAGGGCGCATCTCGAATAATAGGGATCGACATAAACGAACGCAAGCGCAAGGTGGGGGGAGCCATGGGAATGACTGATTTCATAAACCCTAACGACGGGGACGAGGGTAGTGATGGCAAGATGATCAAGTCAATGTCCATCTCAGAAAGGGTGAAACAGCTGACGGGGGGCATGGGCGTGGACTACAGCTTTGAGTGCACTGGAATTCCTCATCTGCTGAACCAAGCTCTCGAGGCTGCAAAAGTGGTACGCAAATGCAATTAATGTCTGATAAGGATCCATTGTTGTGTGTAGATTGTGAACTGTAAATTGTAAACTAGGGAATAGGGATGACGGTGATGCTGGGAGCGGGGACTGATAAGAGCGTGGGGATCGAGTTCGCCACATTGCTGGGGTGCAGGACAATGAAGTATGCAGTGTTTGGTGGGGTTAAGGTTCAGTCAGACCTTCCCCTTATCATCCACAAATGCATCAACAACGTACGTACTGTGCTCTTCTGTACTATATATGCATTTTGACTCTTTATTTCTAGAAAATATATATATATATGTATATTTATTTATCTTACAAAATATCTGAGGTTCTTATTCTGTGACTCTGTGTTGTGATGCAGGAAATTCAAAATTTGGAGAAGCTTATAACGCATCGGGTAGCGTTGGGGGACATAAAGAGGGCATTGGAGCTGCTCAAGGAACCCAACTGTGTGAAGGTTCTCATCCACTTTTGATTCTTTGGGCAACCAATTCGCCAACTCCTACCATTGCTATATGCCTTTCATTCAATATCATTTTTCTTTATTTCAAAAAAACTTTTTTATTATTTTTTTTCTATCTATTTAAAATTTTTTTTTTCTATTTTTATAAAAGTAATTTATACTAATATTAAAATATATTTTAATTTTCATTTATATTACAAATATATATTACACATACAAAATAAATACTCCCTCCGTTCCAAAATTATAGTATAAATTATGTTCTAGACGGGATTTAAGGAATATTGAAATCATATTAATAGTGGATAAAAAATATGAGTAAAAGACTTTTTTGCCTTTGTGAGTGTACTAGTGTAAAAAGTAGTGATAATTGTGTAATAATAATAAAAAGTAAGGGTAGTTTACAGTGATATGATTATTTATGAAAATGTGACTATTATTTTGAATTTTGAGATGGACAAAAATAGTAACATGATTATTGTATTGTATTGGGAGTATCATTGTTTAATCTATTATAAATAATAATAATAATAAAATTAGTCTATTTGAATTGAGACAAAAAGAGTATATCTTATATATTTTGGCTTATCATAAAAATTACTAATAATTTTTTGACTATAAAGAAAAAACAAAAACAACAAAAAATTTGAGCACACATTTAAATAAAGAGATATATATATATAAGGGGTGTCAAAATTAACCCCGATCTGAAAAATCGAATCCGTTTGACCTAAAATTTTTCAGGTTCGAATTTGGGTATTTTGGGTTTGCAAAAAATTGGATCGACTCGAACCCGAAACAAAAAAAATTCGTGTTGTGTTCAGGTCGTTTTTTGGGTTGACCTGTCAACTTGAAATAAAAAAATTATGTCGGGTTTCGTGTTTCAGGTTGACTTGAAATTATTTATTATTATTATTTTAATTTAATATAAAAACTAAAATAAAAAATGATTTTTTTTAGGTTAATTTATTTTTTTAAAATTTTCGGGTCTGTTTCGTATCGAGTTCGTATCAGGCTTGTTCGGGTTTTGGGTGACCTGAAACTAATTCAGGTAAATTTGAACCCAACCTGAAATATTCGTGTTGTGTTCGGGTCTAAGATTTCTGGTCAAGTTTCGGGTTCGGATCAGGTTCGAATTGACGGTTTTTGTGTTACTCCATTGCTTAACTCGACATGAACACGACCTGAAAACACGAATTGACACCCCCTAATATATATTTACCATCGATACAATCGTAGTTTATTATACATAATATATATTTCGTTTGTCCTTCAAATTTATTCAAACTTTTTTTTGTAATCCGGTGTGTTTGTTTGAAGGATTTTGGAGGATTTTTACTATTTATCCAATTTTTTTCCCCCCAAAAACATCACATCAAACACCTATTTTTCATTTTTTATATTATACTAAAAATCAATTTTACATTCAAAACATCACATCAAACCCTATTTATATCACATCATACAACTATTCAAATTCAAAATTTTTACTATTCAAATCCCAATCCAAAATCCAAACCCCCAAACAAACACACCCTAAATTTATTTCAATCCTAAGTTTGGCTAATTTTATCTATTATTTTTTCAGTAAAATATTAATGTTCTTAATCTTTGTAGCTAATTTTAATGGATTGACAAAGTATATTATATATAAATATTATACAATATAAAACTTATATAATATAATATTGCACATAAACATTACAATATAGAAATAAAATAAAATACAAACATATATGAAAAGCAACAATTACTAAATTATTGGAATATAAATAAAATTTTAAATAAATATAACAGAAGATCGGATCCACGTCCACCTAAATTATTAAAATTATAGCCAAACAAATCCACTCCTTTCTACCGTTGAAAGAGTCATCGACAAAGATGCTCGATTTCAACAGTTTTTCAAATGAAATAGTTAGATAAGAGACAAATATACACGTGGCATTGCAAATACATTATTTATGGGAGTGTTACATTAATTAAGATGATTGTAATAAATAATATTTTAATTTAATTGTATTATTGTTTTTGGCTGTTAATATATTTGTGATTTCATCTCAATCTTTTTATTTTATTTATTATTAAATCATTATTCTTTTCACATAAAAATAATCAATTGTATGTTTCTTTTGATCAAAACTCACAATTTTTTACTATTCGGACTTTGGGATTTGTTCATCCAGTATCTTTAATAAATTGATTTTTAATGTGTATTATGAGGAATTGCTTAAAAAAAAATATAAAGTATATTATTTTAAATCAAATATTCTGATTTTTTGTAACGAGTATTTGAATTTTTTTTATTTTTACTTTTTGACTTTTATAAAAAAATATTTTTATGATTTATTATTATTTTTGAAAAATTACAGTTGGTTAACAAAGCCTGTATTTTTTTAATACCCAAATATTTTATTAAACATTATTTTAATAGCAAATTTAAATCAAATTATTTTTCCAAACCGATAAAAAGAAACCCACCTCAAATTAAATAATTTATTATTATTATTAAAAAATTGTCTCAAGTAAAACAGTTTAAATGTATTGAAAAAACAAAGGGAATTAATATGTAAATAATTAAAAATTGAATAAATGTTATTTAATTATTTAAAAATAAAAAATATATGTAGAATATTATTTTTTAGAAAAAAATAATAGAGTGTGAAATTAAAATTTAGAGAAAAATTTAAAAAAATAAATGAATTGAGTGAGATTGGCCTAAATGAATTATTTTTATTAAAATCAAAATGTCAAAATTTAATAATATTTTTATTTTTTAATAATTTTTATATAAGTGAATTATAATAATATAATTCTACTGCTCGACAGCTTCAACCATGACATTGCTAATTAGTTTTAAAACATAGAATATTAATATTATGCATTACAATATCCATTTTTACCAGACCTTACTTTTATAATCATTTGAACTTATGCCTAGCAATGACAGAAAGGGACTAATGAATTATCTACAATGGTTTCCGTGCGGTTGTTCTTGTCAAGGATGGATGTCCGATGAATACCCCGACAAGTAACCAATCAATCAAATCCAACATACTTATCTACACTCTTTGGCGGTGGCGGTGGCGGTGGCGGTGACTGCGACTGCGACTGCGACTGCGAGGGGAGTCGGAGACAGGCGAGGCGGCTTGGTGGTAGGCAGACAACCGAGGACCTGCAATCTTCCTTCCTTCCTTGCACCGCACCGATCACCGTTCAAATTCAAATTCAAATTCAAATTTCCTGTCGAGATGTGGGTGGAGTTGATATGCGGCCTACTTCTTTACCGCTTTTTCAAACGCTTCTTCTACGGCCCCGATCCCCGTCTTGCCCTAGATTCCTCTCCCTCAATTGCTCTCTTCTCCGTCGCCAAAAGGTCTGTCATCGTTCCATCGAATTATTCTTTTGCTCTCACATTTATTCTCTGCCTCTTTACATTACATGCCTCTTCCTCCCTCCACAGGTTGGAAAAACTTAACCGAGGATCCAAAGTCTACGTTGGCCTTCGAATTCCGGATCCCGATTCTGCTTCTCGCCGGAATATTGACCTTGTTCTTATCACTACTAAGTATTCTTTATATCGTTTTCCCTGCTATATCTCACTACATTGAAACTTTTGTTCTTCTCGGAACCTCAGCAAGAAATCAAAGACTGATGATGGTCGGATTGTTTTTCCTTTGTTCACTTTTCACAGAGAGGCAGTGGTAATTTCGGTAAAGAATGTGTCAGGTTTGGTGTCCATTGACAAGAATGGCAATTGGGTATGCGCTGCTGACCAGAAGCACCATAAGACTGAGCATCTTCCTGATCCTGTGAGTTGGAGATCCTCTCATTTGTGGTTGAGAACTTCATTTCAATCTTTGGGACTTTAAAGTCCAATGATCTTCAGTTATTAAATATATAAATACTTTTTCTATATAGGCAAGTGTGAAGTTCCTTCAAACTCTTGCCTACCTTTTATCCTTTGGTGCATGTACTGGTCCTTTGCTATAGCTAGAATGGGTTCATACTCTATGTTGATTGACTCCCGTTTGTAAATAAATAAGTGTATCCCTAATAGTTTAAATTTTCAGGTGAGAGACGGTCATTCAGGTAACCTATTATAGTATTGGGTATGATCCTGTTTAGGATTTTAAGATTATCATTTCAAAGGGCATTGTTGAATGTTGTGCTACATCTGAAAATTATGAGAGCTCCCATTTGGATGTAAGGGTGAAGGACTCCTCCACTTAGTATCAATTGGTTTTAAGATGAAACCCGGATCCCTTCTTAACATGTTATTGGTGGCATTTATCATCCAACACTCTACAACATAAATCCTATTAAACAAATGCCTCTTCCAAACAGGCAAGGAAATGGAGCAGGGAATAATTTTGCATATGAAAGAATATGCCTCGTATAGCCAACTACTACTAACCAAGTGCAAACACCTTATTATAGAAAGTAGGGACACATTTGCCTTAGGCTAGTGTTGGAGATAACACTCCTCTTTGATACCAACTTCTTCCTTCCTAACAAATCCGAGGATGGGAGAAAACTTGAATCTTGCTGACATTCTAGCTCTTCCTTTATGAATTTTAATCTAATTTATGGAGCTCTGATTCCACTTGTTTCAGTATTCTTTCTTGGATGAAGTGATAATGCACCTCTATGTGCTTGGTTCTTGCATGGAAAATAGGTTCCTAATTGCCGACTAGTGATTGTTGTACAAGTGATAGCATCTGCTATTTACTGCTGTCCATCATTCACAATCTATATAAGAAGAGTATTCTATTGACCTGTCCAACACTTTGCATTGGTCAACAAGGCCACATTTGGTTGTCTTTCCCTACCCGAAGAAATTACTTGAGACCCAAGTGCAGAAGCATAACTGGAAATCATGGTGAGTGTGCCATTGATGCGCCTTAGAACTTATTGAGCTTTTACTTGATCAGGTTTAGTTGTTGATGCATGGTCTCAATCTTCAAGTAGATTCTTTTGTGAACATATGTTGCATTTGGCTCTATTGATATTGAGAGCCGCACACATGCACTCCACAGTCCACACCCTTCTAACATGTCTGGGGTAATGTTGCTGTGGGAGAAATCCTTTTTGAGTGTGATAATCTACCTTTAATCCAAGAAAAAGGTTGAGTTCACCAAGGTCTGCAATGAGTTGACTTATTCATTTGTGCTTGGCGAGAAAAGGATATGTGGTAAAATTTGGTTGTCACTGATGGTTATCATAGATTACAGAGTAGGAATTTAGGCCTCCTAGTACTTCATGAAAACCTAGCAAGGCAAGAAAAGGTATCTCATAGGATGAATCACCAAAGCCAGATGCCTGAAGGAGAGCTCCTTGCTTCCTCAAGCATCATGCTTAGCTAAAAGTCTGCAAGATTGCTTGCACTTCTCAAATCTGTTGGTTGGATCATGTAGATTTATGATCTAGGTTTCCATGTACAAATGCATTCTTCACACCAATTAGTTACAAGTTCTAATCTTTGCTAGTTGCCAATGCCAAAAGAACTTCTGTAGTCTTAACTTTTGTAACTAGAATAATTGTTAACTTCATAGTTTATAGTGTTCTAATATTGCTATGAAATGCTTAAATCGATCAAATGAGCTTTCTCTCTTAAGAACCATTTGTGACACCAAGTCTTCTTGGCCAGCAAGAAACTTCTCAGATTAGTGGTGGCTTCTTTTCCCACCCCTTAGCACAGAAGAAAGCCTTTAAATTCTAATCATAACCCATGGATGATTATTGGTTATTCATTTCATCTTCGGTTTTTCCTAACTGGAGAGTGAAAGTCTGATGTTTAAATCTCCTAGTACTTCACTTTGTCAAATTATTGTGTGCTACTGTCACACATCACATCGTGTGGTTGTACCACAGACAGCAACTTGCTCTCTAGAACTTTGTCTTCTATCATTCATTTTTAAAAATGCTTTGCTAGTGCATCCTTGTCATCTTTGGAATTCTGTGTCACTAATGTGCTCTAACACATCTTTCACTATTCTTTTCTGGGAGTGCCTTCTCCAGAATATATTTTCCCTTGTTTCGTCTGGTTGCATAAATTTATTTCAATGAATGACATTCATGTAACTCAGATATCTGACATTATGCCCAAAAGGATAAACCTCACTGGATTGACCAGTATGTACAGAGAAATTGTTTTGAATTCTAAGTGGACCTTGTGCTTGTACAGGCAACTAATCCACTTAATCACCGACTTCTTCTTCACACGGCCACTAAAAGCTGTAGATGACTCTACTAGTGACTTGCCCCATTTATTCCTCTAAGTTCATGTTTACTACAAGTGATAATGGGTGTTTAATTAATCCTTGTAAGTTAATTATATACATGAGAATTGAATAATCCCCATTAATCCGATATAGTAAAGACACACCTTCAGACATTAACCATTAACATGTTATTAACAATGTAATCAAAACACACATCAAGCTCGACATCATTATCATGTAAAGTGGGAACACAATTGGAGTTATGTTGGGAACTAGTCAGTGCTCGATGAACTTGATTATATCTATCTACTACTTCATTATGATAATGTGATTTATTGGTCCCCCAAATAGATTTCAAGCAAAAGGGATCTGAAAATATGGTTCGAGATAGGGCACCCTGGAATATATGTTTATGATCAGTGATAAATCTGTGTAGCATGGTATATGAATGCCCTGGAAAGAGATTGACCATAGTAGAGCTTCCTAGCGTTTTTATAAAAGAAGTTTTAATCCAATAACATTTCCTAATCCCATATCTTTGTTTCATGCTCAGTACCTTCATCAGTTTAACTAATCCTAAGTTGCTCCAATCCAGGTAGCTGAAACTAAACAATTAGTTTGCATCCTTGAAGAATATGTTGAACAAAGGGGCGTTTCTCTTCCTCCAGTATATTTTTCGTATAAGGTTATATGTCCAAACACAAATTTTCGGTATGCTTCAACTTTTATTCTGCTTGCTTTTAATGATTTTCCTCTATGACCTCATTTGATAATCTGTTTTTTTTTTTTTTTTTTTTTTTTTTTTCGTGTTATGGTTGCACACCCATGCTGTCTTCACTCCCAGCCTTTGAGTATATATATATATATATATGAATGTCACCAAGGATTAGTTAGTATGAGTGTTGACTTAAAAGTTAAAACTAATTCAATGTTTCTGGAAGGCTTCACATACATCAGTGGCGATTGTTGGTGCTCTTGTATATCATGAATGATCAATATAAATATGAAAGAGGAAAATTGAATTACTAATTTTCATTCATATTACAACCACACACAGAGTGGCACTCATGAAACAATACAAGGAAAATTATTAACTTGTTTTTTCACATGAAGTTTATATACAGTATAGACATTCTGTGAGGATTTTATGTACCCATTCTGCAAATCAGTGCTTCATAAATTTAACCTTTTACCATGGAATAATGAAGCAGTTCCTTGCTCAGCTGACACTCTGTTTTTCCTTCTGTGTTCTCAATTTTCCTTTTATTCTTGCAGATCCATTCATTCAGAGCTTTTTCCACCCGAGGTAATCACATATGATCGATGGACACAGTTAAAACCTGATGAACGAAACTCATATTCTGGATGGATCAAAGATACACTTGGCGGCGGAAAGAAGAAAATGCAGGAATCGTTTAGTGAGAACCTTCACTCCATTCTAAGCACTACCCCAATTTGGGATAGGTCCGTCTCAATACCATTGTCATATAATAATTTCACTAGTGTCATGTTAAGGAACAGAATTGTTAAAAATGCTACACAATCAATCTAGACCAGCAGTGATGTGCTATAGTAATGTTCTGAGATCTGATCAGTTTGAGCATTAGTTGCGCCTGCCGCCTGGAGTTAATGAGGATGATTTTTTGTTGTATTATGCATTCTGAGTACCCGTGTTTTGCATCTCATGTCAATTTGTTATTCTTCTATGAATCAGGTTAGAACTCAAAGACAATGAGTATATTCTTGGGGAATTTCTGGAATTCAAAGGCTGTAACGAAGACCTTGTATCACTCAGAAAGATCAAAAGATCAAAAGTTAGCCATCTGACTGTTCGGAAGATAGGCATGTTTAGTATTGGTAACGTTTCTCTATCTTCTCTACTGTTCTAGGTTAATGCCCTCATTCAATTTTGTAGTAATACTCAGTGGTGAATGTTAATAATCTTATTTGTACATATGCAGCTGATTCAACAGTACGGATCTTATATGTTCCTCGTGATTATCGTGTTGAAGGACCTTCTTGGTCGTCACAATGGGAAGAAGTTACAGTCAGATCAAAAACAGAACTAGTTTTTCAACCGCAAAACTCTAGAAAATCATGTAAGCTTAAGCTTTCTTCGGTTGTATCCTTGTCCCTGAGTGCTTGAGTGTCTCTAGTAACGAGTAGTAACTTGAACACCATGATGCACTTTATGTGGAACTATACAGTTACACACTAAATTTGGAAAACTCTTGTAACTATTTAGTCAATAAAATGATTGTATAATTTGTCAATGTATTCTCTCGCTCTTACTTTCTAACAAGTTTGAACACTGTCATAGGAAACTGTCTCCAACAGAGCCTACATTTACATTTTAGCTCAAATGAAAATAGTTCTTGCCCAAGAACATTTTTCCAGTAGTCAATGGCATCAGGTTACTTATTTTACTCCATTGCTTATGTTCTGATTTTTGTAATGAATATAGAGGGAATTATAGAGGGATTATAGAGGGAATTAATTCTCAGCAAAATTATAGGTTGATAAAAACAAAAACAAACATATGGCACAAAAAAAATGTTAATATTATAGCATGACTTCATAACACACAACATCTCAACATACAAGAGGGAGGATTAGGAATCACAGGTCATGGTCATGGTCGGGGATGGGACAGCCGAGCCGCAAGAAGAGACACTAACCAACAGCTTGAAGGAGGCATTCAGCTGCTGTGCCTCTTGCTTTATTCCTACACCTGCATTATGCTATACATATGTATACATGTATGTATGTAGATGATAGAAGAGAAGATTAACATTATGTATTGGTATGAATTCAGGCGGCTTTTGCGCAAGAACTGCCCCGCCTCATGACACTGTTCCCACATATACCAACCAGCCTAAACTCCCAAAGGCAAATGACCTCATCATGTAATTTGTACCTTTGCACCTATCATCGACACAGACTATCGCCACCAAATTAGCAAGCAGGCGGATAAAGGCGAAGATCCTTACCCCTCTTACATATAAGATATGTATTCATCATACATTATACAAACTGAGGCCTACATCCACCCTCTCCAGCTACTACTCTTTTGTTCTGCACTGTTGGGAGAAGGCTGCCAGAGTCTTTGCATTTCAACCACTTGGAATTCTTCCTCTCTTCGTTTTTCCACAGCATTGCAGCCACGCATTTGAGCCCGCTCTTTACATATGCAACAAATACTGTAACAAGTTCTCTGCAAGAATCCAACCGACCCTCGTTATTATTGATAAATAATAAGCATCAAGTATTATTATATAGAAACTGTAAACAGAACAGCTATGTATGTTGACATGTCCCACCCTGGGCTTTATTCACTTACAGCGGTGAGCAGGGTGATCGCTCGCCATTCACGTAGCAAACAAATAGGTATGAATCATAGTGCTGTCCATTAATAAAATAAAAATTGTACAGCCTCCTTAAGCACTGAAACGACATTTTCTTGTACAAATGCATTGCTGGAATATTGTATGATATGACGTGTAGATAAACAGCTCGGCAAGTTGAGATGCTTGAAGCATACTTGATAACCTCATGGATGAGAGAACTGGCTGAAGATTCAAGACAAGAGAACTCTTAGAATGTTTCAGATAAGTAGTGCACTTTGGCTTGGTAAACGGAAAACATAACACTTGCCTATCCCCAGATTTCTGTAGGATTCTACAACTCCTAGTGTTAAGATGTATACCAAGGTTTGGTCTGTTTTGGATGAATCAAAGCTCAATAAATCTTGTATCTGCAAGAAAATCACAATTAATGGGCGAATTTCTAACAATATATATACATTATTAAAAGTAAAGGCAAGAAATTTTATATTATTTACATTACATTTCATTTCATAGGCAGCAATACTTGAGATAAAGGCATCTAGTTGTTCAAAACAAATAACTTCAGGAAAAGAAAGGATATGTGTTGGCTGCCTACCTCACTGTCTTTTGCTGAAACAATTCTTGCAGTGACAAATCCAATAAGTTCATCACTCTGTGCATTGGGCTGACTTTGATCCACAGCCCCCCATGAGACGATATCACATCCATTTACAACATTGTGGAAGAACTCAGATTCATACCTGAATGATCGTGTAATGTGGTTCTTAGAAATAATAATAGAGCCACCTGAACATTTCTTCGGTGACAATAGGGAAAAAAGACACCATTCTCACCTTATTGGAAACAGGTCGCCATGAATTTTTTCAAGAACCACCAAGTCAGATGGTCGGATAGGCCTATAAGCTATAATTGGACAGGAAGGAACCTTGAGATTTATCATTGGAGGATGTGGAATCAATCCCCAGAAAAGATTTGATATATTTGGAAACTCTGCATGCCAATAGTTTCCTCCATTTATGCAGCTTTAGCCACGAAAGCCATGCAGCCTTGGTTCCTAGAGAATACTTTTGATCTTCATTATTTCCTTAGAATTATAAGCCTTCAAAAGAATGGAAGGTGAAGTACAGTATCATAAATACAATTCTATCATACATTTGGCAATTCAAAAATTAGTTATCAGACCAGAGTCAACTGCATAAATGTTGTCTTGGCATCTATCTGTGTGACTATTGAGAAAAAACAGCAAGATAAACAGGTTGTTACAAATATTTGCATTTATTGTTAGCTATGCAACATGGCTGGTGCCTATTTGCTCCCAAATGTTAAAATGAAGATCTGCTTAAGAAAGCCATCCTGTCTATAGTTGTTAACACTAGGACAATAGGAGTCAAGAATATCTACTCAGTTTAGAAAATATTGTGTTAAACAAATTCTAAGAAATGGCTTATGATATAAGAAGGAAAAAAATAAAATAAAAATATCAAGATCGATTTGTTGATCTTGAGGATTTCCACTCACTACTAAAAGAAAGCATAACTTAATGATTACTTATAACTTTAGGTTTTGTTGATAGACAAAGATCTAATGCAATTGAGATGGCAACAGTTAGAGTGCTGAAGTATAAACAAAAGGTGTATTTCAGTATATCACAAATGTAGCATATGATCTGATAGTATATGGTAATAGTTCTCTTAGCACATGCTACAATTAATGTCAGCACAGGATGTATGTTAACATCCACACATGTATGGTATGAACTAACAACATACAGTAACAAGCCGCACTGTGTTGATTTAATTCAAGTCATGCGCTAAGAAATAGTTTTTGCTGAGCTGATTAGGGCTAATTAACAACTTAATTGTCCCCGGTTGAGATAATACAAGATAGGAAACTTTTGAGATACCATCAACCTAATCCTAAACTTTTCAAAATCATGTCTCAATTAAAAATTATATAAAACCTTAAACATAATTTAGTAATTTCTCACCTTTTCCTAAGGAGAAAAAAGAACACTAGTGACAACCTTCCATTTTTTTTCAGATTATACTAGAAACACTATTGTCTAAACTATTCTGAACATCTTCTGACTCCATCAATATTCTTGATTCAATTTTGTCCATGTGAGACAGCATGAATGAACTTCATGAAACCTTATTCTTGGGCTAATTACTCAAAACACAATCGCTAGTAAAACATGCCTTCAGCATTCTCAAACCCTCTTATAACCTAATTTGAATATTATCTAAATTCAGATGTCAAAGTAGCACACCATCCGACAACCCCTCATACATTAAACCTCAACACGCATTCTTGTGATGCAAATTTTGATCTCAAAGTGACACGCAACAACATAATTTTAATAAATTAATGATCAGCACAAAGAACGTTTCATAGTTTGGATCAACCATGCAAAGTTCAAACTTCAAACACCGTACAACATTATCAATCAAGATTTCGAGAGTTCTCTCCTACCTTTCAAAACAAGCAAACAGGTGAATGCTAGAAACTACAAGAAAAGTGTGAACAGTTTACATTATGAGATAAGAAAACTAGAAGTTATCATTCACACAACACCATTCCTAACTAAGTGTAAGCAACAATAAGCCCGTTACGATTAAAGGAAAAAGGGAACCATCCAATACAGCATATAAAAAACCCGCTTCATATTTGAACCCGTAATCGTATTTCGCACAATAAATCTCCCAAGATTTTGTGATCCATTCTGACCTCAAAGTGACAAGTAAAATATGTTCATATAATAAAAACCAAGAGAAATATTGTTTCAATGTTCAGATATGGAAAATTGTCCATCAATCAATCATGATTCCTGAAACCCATTACTGAAAACACGATAAATAAAATTGCACAAAAACCTTACAATAAATTGAGACTGGAGGCACAATAAGCGACGCCGATTGAGGGAAGGAGGATGCAAAGTTCAACCAATCGAGATACCAGGACGACGGCGAGTTCAATCGATCGACAGAAGGCAAGACACCGGCGAGGTCGGTCGGATCAATTGCGAAATAACGCGCGAGGACATCAGTTAGGGCTTTGTTGTTTATCTCCAATTTTGATTCCCTATTGCTGTTTTATCAACGGTTTAGTTTTATACTGTGGCAAAGAATCGCTCCCTGTTCAAGAACGATTGTTTGGGTAGAATAATTTCGCTCATCGACTACATTGATGCATTTAATGATGATAATTATGTTTATTGGGTGGCATAGATAATCAATTATGTTTATCAACTACCATAAAAATCTGCTTGTTGAATGTATACACGACATCGCATATTTATACCCAACAACATCAATAATAATAATAAATTTAACTTTATCTAATATAAATTTATTTACTTGTTAAAAAAACAGGAACTATAATCTTTATCCATCATTTGCTTTTTTTTTTCTTTTTTTTTTTTTTTTCTTCGATGAGTGCTAGAAATATTAATATTATATTGAAATATTAATATTATATTGGATAATAAAGTATAAACGACTAAAATAACTTTTACTAGTATTTTGTGATATAAATGTAATGACATTTGTTTGATATATTATAAGTGATAAAGATATTTGTAATATTAGGTGAAATACTTTTGTCTGAGGCACCAGAGAAAAAAAAAAATAGATAGTTTAATAAGGGATGAAAAAATTATAATTTAATAATGTTTTAAAAAATAAAATACACATATTGAAATGGCAACTAAACATGCTTTTGTATTTCGTTTTCAATGTTTGCTTTGTGCTTTTAATATATATATATATATATTAAATTAAAATATTATTTTATTTAATTTATTCCTTTTAGGTAAATTTATATATTTAATTTAAATTAAGAATTTTCTTTGTATATAATTGTTTGTGTATTATATATTATTTTATTTTTTATATTATGATGTTCATATTAAATGTATCTTATTAAAATAATAAATAATACATATTTCAAATTTATAGTATTTTAATCAAATACATATTACATCATTAACCACACAAACAAACCCTATAAATTACATACAAGTCATATAAGCTTATGTAATTTGTTTTCTTTTGGTTTTTTTTTTTAATTAAAAATTTGTACTTATCTTTTATTTTTATATTTCAACAATTTATTATTATTTTTTTCCCAATCAAATATAAAATTTTGTAGAATTTTTTTTTAATCCATTAACATTAATATACAGAGAAGCTCCTAGTGTTAGCACAACATAATATATATATATATATAAAAGAAAAATACATCATTATTATAATACAAATGTATAGATAATAATCGCTCTCGTTATCGCATTATTGATTGGGTTAAATTAACATTGTGCCGATTTGACTCAATTAGCAAATATTCGTAAGAAAATAGCAAATACTGATGTGATATAACCCATTATATAATTATATTTAGTAAAATATATTATAATTTCAACAAACTATACTATGATTTCATCACAATAGTAATTTGATATAATCAACAAATGTCTAATAAGAAAGTAATAAATATTAATATTCATTATATACTACAATATATGATATTTTTCTTGTGATAATTTGCTAATTATTTAAAGTTTATGTGTTATCTTTACAATATGCTATCCGTGTGTATTGATTTGTGTAGTGTAAATGATCGATGTATGAAAAGGAAGTTAAACAGATAGGGTGAGCTCATATATGATTAGTCTACTCCAACACCTAGGTGTAATAACTGACCTGCGTGCCAAATGTAAATGTGAATTATCTAAAGTAAATATGCCCTGTGCAAGTGAATAGACAAAAAAAAAAAAAAATTATCATTAAATATTATTTTGAAATGCTCAAAACTAAAATATTATTAACTTGTGGTGTAATAAAACTATAATCCCAATCCAGACATGTTTTGTTAGGCCCCATAAAATCCATCGTGGCCAGAAGTAATTTAGTTCAAGCGTCCTTAAAATATAGACACAAATCATATAATATCCATTATCTCACTTCACGAAAAAACAAAATCAAGTAAATTAGCATGTATACCAGCCCCTACATTGCATGTTGGATGACATAATAAATAAGGAGAGGTGAATTAAACTTCTTTAGGTCCTCTCTAAGGCATCATTTTTGTTATTTCATATTCATAAGGTTTTATTATCAATTACAAAAGCTTTGCAATATCATATAGTGCTGGTCATAACAATCATACTACTCTATGTACATGCTGCTGAGACCCATAGTTTTCATTTAGGGCAATTCCTTTGAAGTTTAGGTTGTCCTATTAAGGAAAAACACACGTAAATATCTTCTAGTACGGGTTAAATAATTTTAAACATAATTGTAATATATCGAAAATCTCAAACCATATAATAAAATTTGTGCAAGATGTTAGAAAGCCAATCATCAATCAACATACAAACTTAATGATTGATATTACTGCTTACCATTTGTTGTAAATTGCCTCGAGTCTCAATCATAACTGCTTCTGGTTCTTGTGGGATATGAGAGAGAATATTTTCTTTTGATAAATTCTTTGCATTGCCAGAGGTGGATAAGATTTACATAGATGTATCCTACCTTTCTTTAATATTCCAGTAGTTTTCTTTTTTATTGTTTTGGTAGCTTGGATGGACTGGCTGCCTTGCCATCAAAATTATAACTACATCAACCCAAGCATGACAATCAACATAATAATTTGCCTCACATAGAGAACCTCTTCACCGATGATAGTCTCATACTAACATGTGCAATCGGTCGTCTCAATCTATATTTATTTTTAGAGTATCGCTATTGGTCCTCTCAATTATTTAACCACACGTGATAACATATGCAATCCATCATAAAAGCCAGAAGTGCCGGTAATCAAGATAGAATATCTCTATTTATCATTTTCTCTTATTAAAGAATGTGTAGGAATGCAAGTCACTTTGCAATGAGAAAAGCTCACGGCATACCATAGTTTAATCTTCAGAACAAAATTTTAAAATTTTATAAAATTGAAAGAAAAGACATCAAAATTTACCTTAACAACAAGTTTCGCAACAGCTGCATAGACTCTTTTGTGATGCGAATTCAGTAAAAAGCTCATCAAATTCATGTGTCTTGAGTTCCAATTGTTTTTACGAAGTTTCAACCTCTTAAGCTGCAAAAAATAATGTGAAAAAATGAAAGAACTGTGAATTTTTTTATACCATAGATACATAAAAGTCAAAACACAGTAATATTAAAGTTTAATTGGGAACCTCTGGCTGCAACTCCACACAATTAGCAAAATCTCTACGTGCTTTTCAACAATCCGATGTCTCAATCTTACAACAATTCTGACTCTTCCTAGAATTACTCCAACAACATATAATTCAGAAATAGTCTAACAATCATAAGCAATACACTTATGTTAATTAACTCTTCAGGAGATAAGTTACTCAACAAATTCGGTGAATCTTGAAACATGACATTAAAAATCCAAACGCTAATTCATTTTTCAGAGTAATTGCGGAAATTAAAATGCTTTTTTTTTTTCCCAAAAATGCCCTTTTACTATCATGTACACATGGAAAACATTTCCCTCTTACCATCCACCTTCCATAATATCATATCTCATTTACTCATGATCTGCATACACTTGAATTATGCACAATCATGAATGTCAAATGCTTAATTCACCTTTACAAACCATTATTGCATGAAATACTTTATGTTAACTTAAACTATTCACAAAACACCATATTCGTTCAAATCCGATGTTTGGTTGTAGACGTACACCTGATTATGCCATCCCAATCCTTTTTTGGGTATAACGTACAAATGTATATGCTATGCTCTAATCTTGTGATGCTCGTGATAAAACAAATTAGGAATTACAACATAATGAAAATAGATCAGGTAGAAACATACAGACAACAACCAATTTGGGGAAAGTGTGAAATTTGTTTGTGTGTTTCAGCCGCTACCTAGATCACCCAACCCGAGTCAATCATGTCCGACCCAAACCCGCACCAATCCGATTTGTCTGATTTTCTATTTATTTTTTTTTAAAATCAGAACCGATCCACTCTATTCCTCGTTCTGTTCGAAATTTGAATCACTCCTAAATCTGTTCCATCACTCTCGGTGTTTATCCATATTTCTTCTAAATCAATCGAGTCCGCTTGGCCTTTGATAAGGTGAGGTTGTTTCTTTCTCTTTTGGGATTTATCCATCCAGCTCCCCTCTATATATATGGGTTTGAGTTTGGGGTTTTGGGAGAAAAAAGAACCAATTCGATATTCTCTTTTGTGAGCGACGAACTTATTACCTATGTCTATCGACTTCTCTTATTATTTTTCTGTCATAATACACTGCGTGTGCGAGGATCACTTAGGTTTTTTGGGTTACTTCGACCACAATCGACACCTTCGTGGGTTACCTCGTAGGACAACTTGGAGTTGGCGAATGAATGACTGCGATCTGAGCCTACTTCATCGATTGAGCAATTTTTCTTTTAATTCTTTATTTATATTTCTATTTTATATTCTTAACAGTTTTATTCGCACTAATTGTATGATTGAGAATATGTACGGATCATCCTTCAGGAGATCAAGAATCACAACAAAATTAAACATTATTTCACTCTTAATTGAAAAATATATATATATATATTTAAATTACTTATTATCATTTATATTAAAAAGATTTATATAGAAAATTTGACATAATTAAACTAATATTTAACCCACCACATATATTACTACAACAATAGCAGGAGACATGAGCGCAAGCCGCTCGGACCAAGAGCAGATTTGCAACTTAATTAATGCATAAATGAATACATACAAAGCTTAGAAGCAAACATATATATTTTCCAACAAATATATATATATATATATAAAACCCAAATTGAATGATATATAGATAATATTGTAGTAAAAGAGATGATATATGTTGGTTGTTCTACTTGGCGGGTCCCCAACAGATAAGGTGCATAAGTTTCTCAGCCTTCTCGGCGGCAGCAGCAGCATCAGCTTTTGTTGCAGTGGTAGAAGGCGTTGACGTTGATGCTGATGCAGATCTCCCGAACCTGCTTGTAAGCGTTGCTGCTGTCGCCTCGCCATGATCATGATCGTGATCACTACTCCTACCATTGCTGTTACTGTTACTGCTATTCCAACTCCAACTCCTTTCGCCACTCCATTTCACCAGAGGAGTTGCACTACTCCAATTAGAACTAGGCTTCATCTTCTTCTTCTTCTTGATCTGATCTGATCTGATCTGCTGTAGATGTCTAAGTGAGTGAGCAAGTGTAAGTGTGTGTGTGTGTTTTGGGTTCTTATTAAGGAATTAGCAGGAAGAATCGTGGGATAAATGAATGATTATTAACAGCGAGACAGACAGGCAGGGTGGGTGGAGTGCTGTGCCTGCCAGGTGGCAGGCTCAACAACACATAATAGGTATGATTCCACAACTTGACTGGTTGCCACAAATCTATCTGTACTCTATATCTATCTATATATCAATCTCTATCACTGTCATTGTACTGCACTGATCACCTTATATATATATATTATAACCACGCCATCTTTGTGTGGCCAAAATGCATCTACTCAATAAAGAGCACTTGCTAATCCCATAAGCGATGGTCCGGTGGTGTAAGAGTTGGACATATGTCTGTGAGATTATGTGTTTAAATCCCTCGACGTTTCAGGTTATTTGTCACACATGATTCGCCTAATGTGACTTGTAGTGTATTAAATTCGACCAAAAATTTACCCAGCCATTACTACTGCTCCGCTATATATATATATATATATAAATATATAGGCTCATTAATTTGCATTCATATTCCATCCAATAGGCTGCCTGCGCTCCATCCAATTTCCAATCAAATATCTTAATTCAAATTTTAGATTGCGTTTTGATTGGTTTTGGATTAGTTTACTCTTTTCCAAGTTTTCAAATTTTATTTATTTGTTTTCCAAAATGAGATAATGAAACACGTTTGGATGATATTTAAAATATACTATATTATCTAAAATATTAATTTAGCATATAATTTTCGTAATATTTATTTATATCAAATATTTAATTTTTCTTATAAAATATCATATTAAATATAATTTTTTTCACTATTTTTTAATATTTTTAAAATTCTAAAATTTCAAAAAATCATATATAAAGCACCTTTTGCTCATTAGAAAAAAAAAATTAATTAACTACAATATTTTTAACTATAAAATATTTTTATAATTAAAACGTATCATTTAACAAAAAAAAATAATTTTATCGCTAAAAATAAATTATGTACTACAAAATTAATTTCGTCGCTAAAACAATTTGGCTAAAAAAAGTATACATATTTTGTTGCTAAAGCTCATTTGTTATAAATTTTAATTTTATACAAAATGAGTTTTAGCTGCAAAATCATATTTTTATAGCTATATCTCTTTTCTTAACTCTCATTGCAAAAAAAACTTATTTTTATTACAAAAATCATATTTGCCGCCAAAGATTTTTACTAACGCGGTATAGGTGACGAAATGAGTTTCGTTGCAAAAACTTTTATATTATGAATTCTTATCATTTTCTATGAAATATTTTTGTAACTAAATTTTGACTTTTTTGTAGTGGCTTCTTCTTTGTTTTTGTAATATAAATTTCTATTAAAATTATTATAATAGAAATTAAAAATAAATATCTAATATTGATAGAGATATTTTTTTTGGTATAAATACAATATTAATTTTAAAATTCTATACATATATATAAAAAAAAAAAAAAAAAAAAACAAATAAAAACATACTTTAGGGACAGAGGCATTATTAATTTAAAATATCACCTATTAATATAAATATCAACCAACTAATGTAATGAAACTTTAACGTAATAAATAGGCAAAATAACAAAAAAATTTCATATAGTTTCCGAATTAATTGAAAATTTTCACGTTTCAAAAATTTCATAAAACTTACTTATAGTTTCTAAATTATTGTAGAAAATCTATTTATGTTAGAACTTAATAAAATTTATTAACTATTATAAATGCATTTATATAAAATAAAAATGGGTAATTGTATTTTAACCATATCCTAAAATTTCTAAGTAAAAAGAAGTAGACATGGGCATAATGGTCAACATGTGTAAAAATTTAAGATGCGAACTTGGAAGGAAAGTGCGAACGTGCTATATTTTAGAAACCATGACTATATTTTATGAAGTGTTCGGACTAGGGAGCTTTCAACAAATATAATAGATAACAGGGGATTTTATACTATTTTATGAAATAAATATTTGATATTCCCTCTGTCGATAAAATGTCAACTCTTTCTATTTTTATCTGTCACATATAATTTATTATTTTTTTTAAATAATTATACATTTTAATCATATTTTAAATTTTATAATTTATAATTTTTTAAATTTTAATTAAACTATTTAATCACCTTAATTTTACTTTATAATTATATTTACTAATACATTTTATAATTACTTATTAATTATGTTTTACCTAAATTTTCGTATTTATAGTATCATGAACATTTTAGTGGAACGGAAAAACTATATACATATATATTAATTTTTGTATCGTACATATATAAATTATTAATGCAAATTTTGCTAAAATTTAACATATCCTATAAATATTACACATGTAAATAGAATTATAATAAATATATCAACAAAATAAATAAATCTCATTGATAAAGAAAATTGATTAATAAATATCCAACAAAAAAGAATAATGTATAAATCTTGTTGAGAAATAAAAAGATATACAATGAATTACATAAAGAAAGAAAATAACATCCAATGAAAATGAAAGATAATAATTTTTTTAATTTTTTTAATTGATTATTAGAATATGCGATGTAGCATCATTCAAAAAGAAAATCGAGATCATTTTTCCCTATAAATAAAGGTCGCGGTCAAACTATTCAACACATCAAAGTTAATTTGAATGGCCAAGCAAAATAATAAATCTATGGATTTTCTCTGCAATATTATTCATATTCTTGTTTTTCACGGAAGCTACTAATTTGAACCTATGATCTATCAATTAATAAATTGATAAATTTACATTCTTCAATATATGTTCAAATTAGTGGAAAGAAACAATTAAATTCATTTAATAATATATTAAAATTAAAGAGAAAAATCTTCTAAATAAACGATTATGATTTGTGTTCTTCGTCAAATCATTAATTTGGTTCTTTTTAATCCCAGAGTTGAAAGGATATGCCATAACAAAAAAATTATATGGAGCATCAAATCATTCTTCTTAAAAATCAAACAATCAAATTATTTTAGAAAAATAATCAAAATCAAATCAATGATAAAATTCAGTTTCATGATGATCAATCCCGTTAAAATTCGGCAAAATTAAACCAAATATCAAATCCCTAAGTACTTCAAGAAAGTAAAATTGAGGATAAAGTATTCATGATGCTCCGTTTAGACAGAGATTTTTGGAGAGTTCGGAAATTTTAAAAATTTGAAAAAAAAAATATTTGTCAAAGAAAAAATATATTTGATTTAATATTTTTTTTTTTTAAAAAAATAAATAATTCTAAATGAGTGAAAGTTGGTTGTGTAAACTTAAATTAATGAGATACTTTTAAATTTCTATTATAAAAACAATTCAAACTAAACAAATACACTCCAATAAATTAATTTTAATTAGTTAAAATTTAAATGATTATTAAATTTATTGATTTTTTATTTTGTAAAAACTTCTATAATTGGATAAGAAACAAAAAAGTTTGATATACTCCACTGTATTTATTTTGTAGAAACTTCTATCATATGTTTTTTTTTATTTATTTAAATATGTATGGTAAAAAAAAAAATACATATTTTTCAAAAATAATAATACATTATGCATATTTATTATTTTTATATTACTATAAAATTATTGTAAAAATACCTTTTTATATAATTTTACAAAATAAACACATTTGACATATTTACATTATGTCAAATATTGAACGTGTTTATTTAGTATACTAATTTGATATTTTCTTTAATGTGAGCTATGAAATTTTTTATTGATAATTTAAAAGATAATACTTTTTTCGTTATTTTTTTTGTCATTCAAATTTATTATCGTTTTTTTTTAGTAATAAAATACCGCATTTTTTACTTTTTTTTTACCCATAAAATTTTATTTTTAACTTTTTTTTTTTAAACCCGTACCTGTCAAATGAGCACACGATTAATGACAAATAAAGTAATAATTTAATTAAATTATTGAATATATTTATATATTATACTCCATTTGTCTCACTTATCATGTCTATGTTGTCCGTCCCACATCTCATGCCCATTTTTTTTTATAATGATTATTTTTTAAATTTTCTAATTTATTTTTTTTAATTTTAATTAAACTAATTAGTTATTTTAATTTTAATCTGTAATAATTTATATTATATGTTACTTATTTTTACTAATACAATTTTAATTATTTATTAATTATATTTATTCTAAATTCTCGTGTGACACCTACCGAGGTAGTATTTTTTTTATTAATATTATGTAGTATTTTTTTATTAATATTATTAGAAACAATTCTTACATTTTTATTACTTACAAATCCAAACGTTAAATAACACACCCGGGCCAAACTCATCGATTTGTTTTGGTATGTGACTAATTCGCGGTTGTGTGGGTCCCTTCGGATTGGACGCAATCTTCGTTTCCCGTTTCATTTTGTTCTTGCCGGTTCTTAATTAGGGTTTCGTTCATCTCTGGAACTGGAAGTTGTAACAATGTCGGACCACTTGCCGACGGAGCTGATCATCGAGATCCTCCTACGGGTGCCCGTCAAATCCTTAATTCGGTTTACCACCGTCTGCAAATTGTGGCGCTCTCTTATCACAAGTCCGTTTTTCGTCTCCTCGCACCTCTCAAACGCTAAAGATCAAACCCTTCTCCTCAGGCGATACGATAAACACGACAAGAGGGAGCATTATACAATCCTCAAAGAAAATGAAAACGCTCCCCTCGGTGTCGATCATTCCTCAGAACTCGCGATTCCCTTCAAATCCCGAGTTGGATATTTCAGAATAGTGGGGTCCTGCAATGGGCTCGTATGCTTATCAGACGATCTATTCGCTACTACTTCGGGACCTACTATAATCTGGAACCCTAGCATTAGAAATCACCTCGTTGTACCTATGCCCAGTATCCTCCCTAAAGAGCCCCATCTCGTTGTGCTTGGATTTGGCGTTGCTGGTAATGATGCCAAGGTTGTGAGGCTGATCTATTACAGAAAACCCGAAGATTTTGGTTTTCAAGAATCGCCAGAAGTTGAGATATTTTCCCTTAAAGAAAGGAGTTGGCGTAGGGTGAGTGGGGTGGATGTTAGGCTTCAAATTCTTGAATTTGTGTGGCATCATGCTTTCTTGAATGGGATTGTGCATTGGCTCGCCTACAAATTGATGGATGGTGATGGCTCCCGAAGTTCGATCTTGTCGTTTGATATTTGTAAAGAGGAGTTCAGTGAAGTGATGTTGCCATTGGAGTTGGGTAGGGAGCTTGCAACTGACTTGCATATATCCTTGATTGTGGGATCACTCGGAGTGATCAAATACAGTAAAGAAGTAGGCCATGAATGGGGTGATGTTTGGGCGATGCGCGAGTATGGTGTTAAAGAGTCGTGGACTAAGTTGTATAGGATTGATATGGCTGGTGGTGTAGAAAGAGTCGTTGCATTTCGCAAAAATGGTGAAGCTCTTGTAGCCTTGAAGAATTTCGAGTTAGCTTCTTATGATTCGGAAACTGGTTTTGCAAAGAGTCTTGGAGTTTGTGGGACTACACGCTCGTTCTATATTGATAGATACGTTGAAAGCTTGCTCTTGTTTGGAGAACATAGTGCAGGGGAACGTCGAGAAGATTAATGAAAATGTATTGCAGGATTTGTGTCTAAAATGTCGAGGATACTCTGAATCACTGCATTTCCCCCTTGCATTGTCGAACAAATGCTGGGATGGTGTGAATTGTGGTATTAGTGATTGACCGAAAACTGAGTTTGTATTAGAGTTCCATGTTCTTAGTATATTTATGCATATGTGCATCATATCAGAGGGGTGATTGTCGATCCCCGTTGCCGTTGTGATTTGTTGATTTTAGGTACTTCAATATGAAATATGAGCATTTGTTATTCTTTTTTCACATGAATTGGTACACTTAAAAAGGAGAAGAAGAAGAAGAAATGGCTTCTATAGTATGCTGTTTTTACTATCAATTTATTGAGATTAGATAATAGTATTGTGGTAAGAAAACTCTATGGATGTATTTTACAGTCACCCAATCAGCCCGGCACTACGCACACTTTGATAGTGATCGAATCACAATCTTATAATAAGAATCAAACATCTTTCTCTATCAAGGTTGAATTTTTGTATTTAGTTCGATGATTTATTTTATACATAAATAACCATTTGACACAAATATACAAGCTCAATTTTATTTTTTTATAATAAAAAATGCCCACTAGCTGAACCTGATCGAATTTAATAATATCTTGCAAACTAACCAAATTTAATAATATCACGCAAACTAAATCCGATAAAACAAGTCAAACTAAGCGAATCATGCGCGATCTTAAAATTTTTTAATAACAATAAATATTTAAATTAGGTATTTTGTAAAAAAAATATATAAAAAAATTATAAAAATATTTATATGAACAAAATCATGACTTAAAGCCATATATAATTTCTTTAACATATGTAAAATAAATAAATAAATACATACAAATGAAATAGCTGCGGCCATATCGTTTCACCATCCAATGCTTCGTTGCGTGCCTGCACCTCCGCATAAAATGCGCGCCAAAATAGCCTGCCCTTTAAATTTGGTACCTTCCATTTCCATTTCTGTTATGTTCTTGTTTCACTGGGACTGACATATCTGCAACAAGAACAGCTGACACTTGTTGCAATTTGGGCGGGCACCTGTTCCAATCTCACGGATCCCCATTTTTAGACACTTTCCAATTTGTTTGTTCTGCATCATCTTCTTTCCGTCTCTCGAATAATTCGTGTATGTATGTATGTATGTATGTATGTATGTAACAGTGGCTATTCTTTTTCTCTGTTTCTCTCTCGTCGTCCATAATTGCCCAGAATGGACGAGCGCTTAAAAGAAACCGAAAAAGCCGTTATATCGAAGTTACCCCACTCGCCGCCCCGCCGCAAAACCCACTCCTACAGCCAGCAGCTCGGACCAAACATCGACTCTCACAACAAGTATCGCAAGAACAAGCCCCGCCACTTCAGCCTCGACGATAGCCACATTTTAGTAAACGGAAATAATACCAATCACTACGAATCTTCTGACGACGATGACTTTTACCGTGGAAGCGATTACAACCGGAGGATTGAGGGAGCGGGAGAAGGTTCCGCGCCCGGTGATAGCCAGCAGCCTTTGCCGGAGGTTATTGGGAGCGGCGGTGGGGTTGGGGTGTTCAAGGCCCCTCATAGATCTGCCGTGCACCCCTACCGGCCGCCGTGTCTTGAGCTCAGACCCCACCCTCTGAGAGAAACTCAGGTATCGCACAAACACGCCCATTGCTGGCTGTTTCAGATGTTTTGGACAGAAATTTCATTATCCATCGTTTGATCTTGTCCTTTTCCTTTGGTGAATGCATTAAATTGTTGGATCGATCCATCTATTTATATGCATATATATATATCAATCTAGGATATTTAATAGCTAGCTCTGTTCTTCTATATAACTTTACATGTTAATCTGAACGTTGATTTTATTGAAGCAATGTTTTTATTTCACCTTCTAGTTAGGAGGCATTGTTATATGCCTGTCAAAAGCTTAATTAATTTATGAATGAATGTGCTGTTTTATTTTAGGCAGGGAAATGTATAAGGACGATTGCCAGCACAGAAACACAACTATGGGCAGGGCAAGAATCAGGCGTAAGAGTATGGAAGTATTCGGATGCATATGAGCTATCTGTAGGACCTGGGAAAAAGCAGCGGAGAGGGGATGAGGATACTGCCCCATTTTTCGAATCAGCAAGCACATCACCGGTAATATGTATGATGATTGATCAAGGGAATAAGTTAGTTTGGAGTGGACACAAGGATGGTAAAATTAGATCATGGAAGATGGAACAAAATTTCTCTTATGACACTGCTTTCAAGGAAGGTTTTTCTTGGCAAGCACACCGGAGTCCAGTTCTTGCCATGACGATATCTTTTTATGGTTAGTTTGCTGTCTATGTGCACAAAAATATAGATTTTAGATTCTTGTTGGGAAATTATACGATATAGCATTTGACTAAAATAAATAATAGTGTAGGTTAACTCAAAGAAACTCAAGATGTTTAGAACTATATATACGTTGTTAGGTATACTATACTATACTATATGGAGTCCAAATAATACACCTATCTGTATAAAATTCTACATGGTATCGAAGTAGTGAAGTTTTCATGTTTGAAAGGAAAAGTTAACATGCTTAGGCCTTGAAAGGAATTATGCAGAGGGTATTGAGAAGTTTACTATGCCCTCTGCCCCCATCGAATAAATAATAAAGTTGTAACCAACTTCTTCGAGAGTAGCAAACTTGAATCCCTTCAAACTTTACTCGATGTTTCAGTTGTATTCATTGCTATATCCTCTGAGAGTTATTCAACATTCAGTTTCAGCTTTTAAATTGGTTTCTGAATGAAGTACTTGCTGAATGTGCTCTCATCATAAGTTTATCCTTTGTTTTAAATCTTGCATCCCATTTCATGTGCTTTATTGTAATTCCAGGGGATATATGGTCGGGTTCAGAGGGTGGTGTTATTAAGTTCTGGCCATGGGAATCCATTGAAAAATCTCTCTCTCTATCATCAGAGGAGAGACACATGGCTGCTTTATTGGTAGAGAGATCAGCTATTGACCTCAAAGCTCAGGTTACAGTTAATGGAGTGTGTAATATTTCTGCATCAGATGTGAAATATATGTTATCCGACCACATACGAGCCAAAGTATGGGCTGTTGGATCTCTATCCTTCTCGCTGTGGTGCGTATCGTGATCCTGTTTTTATCTCCAAACTAAAATAGCTGTGTAAAAGATAAATTTTTTGTCTATTATGATAATCTGACTTGGTAAAAATGTATGAAGGAACATTTAGTTTCCCATATTTGTTTGATTCGATAAGTGCTGATTATCATCTTTTTTGTTGGATTCAGGAATGCTCGTTCAAAAGAACTTTTGAAAGTGTTCAACATAGATGGTCAGATTGAGAATCGAGCTGACATGCCATCATCGCATGACCAGGTGGTTGAAGATGAGTCAAATGCTAAATTTGGCTCCAAGGGTAAAAAAGAAAAACCTCAAGGATTTTTGCAGAGGTCTCGCAATGCCATAATGGGTGCTGCAGATGCTGTTCGCCGAGCAGCAAAGGGTGCAGGAGCTTTGGTTGAAGATATTAAGAAGACGGAAGCAATAATGCTTGCTTCTGACGGCATTATATGGACAGGATGCTCAAATGGTTTATTGATCCAGTGGGATGGAAATGGAACCCGTTTGCTTGATTTCAGTCATCATCCTTCTAGCATTCTGAGCTTTTGTTCTCATGGATCTAGAATATGGGTTGCATATGCAAGTGGCATGATCCAGGTACTAGACCTCGAAGGAAATCTCATAGCCAGCTGGGTTGCGCACAATGAGCCGGTTGTAAAATTGGTTTATGGAAATGGCAGCATTTTTAGCTTAGCAACTCATGGTGGAATTCGCGGATGGAGCATCTCCTCTCCAGCTCGTATAGATGAAATAATACGGGAGGAATTATCTGCCAGAGAGAACATGTATACTAGGAAACAGAACATTCGAATGTTGGTGGGTACGTGGAATGTTGGTCAAGGAAGAGCTTCTCATAATGCACTGATGTCTTGGTTGGGTTCTGCAGTCTCAGATGTTGATATTGTAGTTGTGGGGCTACAAGAAGTCGAAATGGGCGCAGGTTTTCTTGCTATGTCTGCTGCAAAAGAAACTGTAAGTCCATGACACAATTCATCATATGTGTTTTTACCTGTAAGAAGAATGAGATTAATGTACAAACAGTTAAAGATTTTTGCCTGCAAGCCATTTAGCATTAATATTATCAGCCAATGCTATATTATATTGTCATGTTTTTGAATAACTATACTTGTTGCAAACTTCGATGTATTGCCGAATGCAATTAAAAACTCTCATAAGTTCTCTCTATATTCGTTTATGTACTTTATAAAAGCTTCTGTCACTTATAGGTAGGATTGGAAGGAAGTTCAGTTGGTCAATGGTGGCAAGATCGCATCGGAAAGGCTTTGGATGAAGGATCTACATTTGAGCGCATAGGATCAAGGCAGTTGGCTGCTCTGCTGATAGCAATTTGGTATGGTCTTCGCCTGTTCTATGGAGTCTTTAAGTTGTAAAGATATAGAGAAACTCTTACAGCCTTTGCTTTTGAAACATCACCTTACTTTATATATTCTATATTATTATTTCATTTCATTCTTATAGGCGGTTGCCATCCTATTTCTCAGGGTGAGAAAAAATCTTAGAAAACATGTTGGAGACTTAGATGTTGGTGCGGTCGCATGTGGTTTAGGTCGTGCCATTGGTAATAAGGTAACTAAGTAGTCTATTTCCCTATGAAATGTTGGCCTTAATTTTACAGGTTTAGCAAACTCACTGAGCTGGTTCTGCGATTTAAATCCTATGTTTTAGCATGAACTAATAAAAATGTTTTTGCTGGATCATCGCTAGTGTCAGTGACATATCATTTTGATTTCATTGGTTTTTCAGGGAGGTGTAGGTTTAAGATTGAGGGTATTTGATCGGATAATGTGTTTTTCAAATTGTCATTTCGCTGCGCATTTAGAAGCAGTCAACCGGCGTAATGCTGATTTTGATCATATATTTCGAACAATGGCTTTCAGCCGGTCATCAAACTTCTTCAACAATGCTACTGGTATGCTGCTACAAACAACTAACTGTATTCGATTTCTTGCTCTGAATCTTTCTTGAATTATCTTGATCCTTGTCTTTTAAATTATTACATTGCAGCTGGCGGCTCCTCTGCCAATCAGATGCTTCGTGGCCAAAATGTATGTATGTGTACATGAAAATTGTGATTCAGATGGTTTTATTGTTTAGTCACATTTGTTATGAGTCCAG